GGGGGTAAAATAATAATCTAGGAGTACTTTAACTCGTCAGGGGGGTAAAATAACTTAAATAGGAGTACTTTAACTCGTCATGGGGGTAAAATAATAATCTAGGAGTACTTTAACTTGTCAAGGGGGTAAAATAACCCGGAAAGAGGTAAAATAAATCGTATGGGGTAAAATTTTACTCCTTTCCAGGTTATTTTACTCCTAGACGTTTTATTTTACCCCTAAACATTTTATTTTGCTCAATTCTGAGTATTTTACTCCTTTTCTAATCACCAGTGTTGTGTTCTTAAATGGATAAAGTCATGTTCCATTCATGACGTCACTTTAATTGTAATGTCACAATGCCCTCTGCCAAATACAGAACTGTTTCTCTTCACAATTTCATAACGTTCATTTTTTTTTTTCATTTAAAAATTAAAACAGCATAATTTCTTATCTAATTAAGCAATTCAGGACTTCGATTCTGATGAATATGCGGTTATATGGACCTGAATAGTCATATTAACTGCGACTTCGACTCGGTTACTATATTCTTTTAAGTTCATATTTAAGCATTGAACTGTTACCAGATGCAGTATACAGTCGATATTAATGCAATTTGGGTGACAGATAATTATAATGTCGCCGATTAGGGCGACATGAATATGTATCTGTCACTCAATTGCATTCATATTGACTGTATACTGCATCTGGTAACAGTTCAATGCTTATATATTTTCATTTATATAGTTTATTTTGTATAGTAACTGAAAACAAAATACGTTTGAATTTTCCGCTTACATGTATCATATCAATGACGTCAGTAACTTCCAATCCCAGAACAGTCGAATTTTCCAGAAAAAATAATATATAGTCCCTCGTGTCATTGCAAACCACACGCACATAAAATGGTTTGAACACAAACTTGACTTTGTTTATTTCATATGAGTGTGTATATGTTGAAAAATTGTTAATAATTGCATCACTTCTGCTTGTTAAAAATTAATGCTGTTTTTCGCGCATTGATAGATTACATGTATTCGGAAGTGATGCGGCGCTGAACGGACTTGATTCTTTCCTCGGAAACGCTTATGTTTCCATCGACTGGAATAATACATTATTTTCAGAAGCATATATACTCGGAATTTTTTAATTAAAGTGGTCCTTTCAGTAGGTGATGACGATTCCAAGGACACTTCGTTTGAAACAGATTCCATGTCTTATCGGTCAGATCAGCATCGCTAGCAGACAACGTTCACAGGGGCTCGGTTACGTGTTTATGAGTAATGGTTGACATCACTGAATATACACATTCTAAAACCTTGTCGATACTTCACTGATGTTATGCATAACTCAAAATCATAACTCAAAATCTCGAATATATTTTTTGCGATGACCTACATTGCTAAATGCTAACGAACACAGAAAGTTATCTGACTATAGGCCTATCGATACCGAAAGTATCTGGTGGCCATGTTTGTTTACCTAGGACACATTAAGCTGTATTCCTACACTGACCGAATCTCTGTAAATTGCAGTATACAGTCTCATATACTGGAATTTGGTTTACTAACGACATATAGGCAAATGCAACACATAATGTAAATATAACCACATATTAACCCCAACAAAAATCCATAGTTGATCAATATAATGTGTATACATGTATATATAACGGGAAATTCCCAAGAAGGTACAATGACAACATACACATGGCATGAATATGTGCGATATACAAAACAAAATGGTCGTCATCTGTATATAAAAATATGCTTAAAGCATTTGATAATTTCTTCCAATTTGATGATCAAAATAGGCATGCGTATGTTATTCTAGAAATTATCTTACAAATGTTAAACTCGATAAAATGCAACTAAATCATTTTATATATTAGGAGTTAACTTACTAAAGAAGACGTTACATTTTGCACGACGGCGCATTTTTTTCTATACAATGAAATAAATAAATAAATGAAAGAATTGTTTTTTTCCACAAATAAAGCAATTGTATGATATGCGACAAATAAGGCAGTGTATTTTAACAGTCTCAATTATACAGTCTCAATTCGCTTCGGGGACATTTTTAATGTTTCACAAATAAGGAATAAATCTTAATATCATTGATATGAAATGGAATAATAAATAAAAATTTGGAGTTACAATATTACCGTCTCAGGAACAGTATTGCTTAACTTTTGTATTTACGATAAATTTGAGATATCACCATACGACAGTCGACATGTGGAATATTTTCAGCGGCATTTGCATTTAATATTTTCCAAGAAATGACTCGACCAGAATTTTCGATAAAAGTTTAAAGAACAAACGCTTGCATTAGGTGCTACGTCACGGTACAAAATTCAGATCGAACAAAAATAGTTTTCGGCTTTTTCTCCATCCACATACTATGTTCCTTTGCCCAGTGTTAACGTTAAATTAGTGTAGCACGTGCAGGAGTTGGGTAAATACATCTTCACATGATTAAAGACAACATATAATATATCAAACTTAACACCTGACGATAAACAGCTTGACGTGTAAACATCGGATGGGAAACTGTATAAAGTCTTGATGAAATGTTTGAATATTAAACATAGACAGACAACATTATTTTAACAACTTATTCTGATGAGTTAGAAACTTCATTGGGAATCAATAGAAGAATATGTGCTGCCAGAAGCTAGAGCCTGGTCTCCCTCGCGGTGTTGTAGCCAGTAAGTCCTAACTACAACCACATCTCGAAAAGTATTCTTCAACTCAGCTTTCAGCTGAAAAATAATCATTAAGTAACAAAAACATTAGATAACGTGATTAGATAACTACGGTTTAAACTCAGCGCCCTATATGATTTATAAAATTACTCTAATCGCTTTACAACATAGGGATAATCATACTAGTTATAACTGATAAACAAAAACAGGCTTACAATCATCATTATACGTCAAGCAAGAAGATAATAATCTCAATGTGCATGAATAAATAAAGGTATGTACATGACGTCTGTGCAAAGAGTCTATAATGTGGACGTGAATAGTTTGTATGTTCTTCTTGGATTATATAACTCTATTTGATCATAAACACATATTTGTAATACGATGAGACCTAGATAGTGGTCTCGTTTTAAATAAGTCACCACATATAATACATGATTAAGCTGTAGCAGTTGTATGCTTTAAGCAATCACCTACAATGTATAAGTAGCAAGTTCTTTGTGTGTTTTGCTGACTTACATCGGTATTACCCGTTGTAGGACTAACTAAGGACTCCATAAAACAACGAATGCAGATAAGAATTACAGAACGGGTAAATAATTTCTTGGAATCGATTTTACCTTCATCGTTAGTTATATTCGTGTAATTATATCCAAAACCAAATATTGTTTGAGTATGCACATGCTAGTAATATTTACCTGTGACGGACTGTCTGTTCTCTGTTAGTGACGGACTGTCTGTTCGCTGTTAGTTATATTTACCTGTGACGGACTGTCTGTTCTCTATTAGTTATATTTACCTGTGACGGACTGTCTGTTCTCTGTTAGTTATACTTACCTGTGATAGACTGTTAGTTATATTTACCTGTGACGGACTGTCTGTTCGATGTTAGTTATATTTACCTGTGGCGGACTGTCTGTTCTCTGTTAGTTATATTTACCTGTGACGGACTATCTGTTCTCTGTTAGTTATATTTACCTGTGACGGACTGTCTATTCTCTGATAGTTATATTTACCTGTGACGGACTGTCTGTTCTCTGTTAGTTATATTTACCTGTGACGGACTGTCTATTCTCTGTTAGTTATATTTACCTGAAACGGACTGTCTGTTCTCTGTTAGTTATATTTTTCTGTGACGGACTGTCTGTTCTCTGTCAGTTAAATTTTACCTGTCACGGACTGTCTGTTCTCTGTTAGTTATATTTACCTGTAACGGACTGTCTGTTCTCTGTTAGTTATATTTTTCTGTGACGGACTGTCTGTTCTCTTTTAGTTATATTTACATGTGACGGACTGTCTGTTCTCTGTTAGTTATATTTACCTGTGACGGACTGTCTGTTCTCTGTTAGTTATATTTTTCTGTGACGGACTGTCTGTTCTCTGTCAGTTAAATTTTACCTGTGACGGAATGTCTGTTCTCTGTTACTTATATTTACCTTTGACGGACTGTCTGTTCGCTGTTAGTTATATTTACCTGTGACGGACTGTCTGTTCCCTGTTAGTTATATTTACCTGTGACGGACTGTCTGTTCTCTGTTAGTTATATTTACCTGTGACGGACTGTCTGTTATATGTTAGTTATAAATACCTGTGACGGACTGTCTGTTCTCTGTTCAACAACGAAGCCGCCAAGCTCATACAGGAGGTCACGAGTTGTCTCGCTTATATGTATTTTGTTAGCTAGGAATAATACAGTGGTCATTTAGAGCTTAGACATTTAAATAAATATTTTGGAAATGTACAAATAATATTAATTGTTCTGTTTAAGACATCAAAATAACAAATCAGAAGGGCCATATGATAATATCACATAAACCTATCACTATTACGTTTACAATTAATTAACTTAGCCGTTCAGCTCATGCAATGGGAGTTAATATATTTAGCATGCTATTATTTTGTTTTATTGAAAAGGTTTCGCCAATTACGCCACCACTCTTTGTCAGGCCGGAGAAAAATTGGCGTTAAGGCAAAAGTTTTAGGCTTGTGTAATAACAAAATGGCTAATTAATTAGAAACTATATGTACTTCATCGTCAATATGTATGGAGATTAACCTAACATGTCATAAAACTAAAACAAACGGAACGGCGAGATTGTTACGAAACTGAGACATGTTCAAATCCGTATATAAATGGAAAATTAGGTCACCATGACGACTGTTAAATAGTTTCAACATAGATGTATGCTTCTCTGGTAGAGAACCCTGGTTATGGAGTTTATAGGTCAACAGGAACACCATAATCTAGGAGTTTTGTCCTTGGTGATTGCATGAGTTTGATCCACAAGTTCTACTTATCTTTGCAATGGTTTGCATAACATACAGTTGTGTATGCACCAAAACATACAGTTGTGTATGCACCAAAACATACAGTTGTGTATACACATACATGTACCAATCTGATTAAAATCATCTGTTACATGGCTCCACCTGAACATCTGAATGTGCCGCGGTCAGGGTCACGTTCAAGTGACCTTTAAATGAACAAATCAGAGGCGCGCTGGCAAAAGTTTGCCAGCGAAACGGAATATTATGGTTGATAGATAAATAGTGGCACACTCAGATGTTCAGGCCTAGTACGAAGTTAACGAAGCCATGTAACATATGATTTTAATCAGATTGCATAACATACAAGTTTCTTATTCCAACTTTTTGTTGGTAAAAGTTGTGACTTTGAAATATTATAAAGGGATTTTAAGGGATTTGCTGTATATGTAATATACAATTGTAGTTTAGAATACCTTAGACACAGATATCTTAAATACCCTTTTAGATTATTCACAGACCACGCTTTCTCTTTTTGTTTCAAATTGATGTTGGTGTCATTCTGATCCCGAACGTATAAATGGATAAACGGAAACTGTTCATGAATCTCTTACCTGTGCCAAACGACTCCATCATAGAGGCAACACTGACGGTCACACCAAAGAGACAGTAGCGAGGCATCTTAGTACCCACAACTGCAGCTACTACTGGACCTTTAATAGGGGACATAGAGAGGTTTAAGTAGCTTCACTGTACTTGACTAGATGTATTACTTTACAATATATTATATAACTACAATCAAGTGTTTTTTTTTAAATAAATTATAAGTAAACATTTTAACATATATCGTTGTTGTGTTTAAATAAAAAAGTACAAACATTTCTTTTTTTTATTAGCATACTTCATTTAAAAACATCCCCTTCTTATGTCTAAATCTCGATCAAATGAAGTTTTTTTTATCTGGTATAACGGCATTTTACTTAATGCAACAAAAATATCTAAGCAAATAATTAGCTGAAGAAGTTTTCATCTTAGTACCTACTGTTTTATTTTATTTTATTTTTTAATTTGTATTCTATTTAATTTGTATTTTATTTAATTTGTATTATTTGGTAGCCTGTTTGATTATCGCAAATATGTATGTGTGTTGCACTAGACACAGCTCAGTAAAAGTGGCCTAAAAATATCGAATGTTGAGAAAATAATATGATGCACAGTGGAAAATTGTAAACTTTTGATATTTGACTACTATTTTATATCCACTGATGCACTCTTTTAATTTTATGCCACAAGGGTGAATTAATATAGTATAAAAATAGCACACGGACCCCACAATGATTAGCTTGAGAAAGAAGAGCTCATTTTATTTTAGTCTACTCTATACTAAAGAAACCGTGCTGCTTACCCTGGTGCTTATTCTTATCAGAAGGATTAAATTGACATTTTCATTTTTCCTACTTTGCAAAGGTTATTACTTTGAGTTAAACAAAAGGAATTAAATTTTAAAATTTTCCATTTTCCTGCGTGCCGTAAATAATTGAATGTTTTGCTTATGTCATGCATATGCAATGCCCCTTTAAAATGACGATTCATTTCCTGTTAAAGTTTGCACACTTCTTTTGCTATTGCGATTTTTTTGTTTTTTTAAAATATTACTTCATAAGTAAAAAGACTTTTAGCATACAAAGTGACGTAATAATCTTTATCAATTAATTTGAAAACACGTGTGTTGTGTAAATGTTGACCTTTGACCCTGTAAAACACACACTCGCAAATATACGTATAATGTTTAAGCGATAAGAAGTAGTCGAAAAGAGGCTTCGCACGCTTGTACTTGACATAAATTTAAGTCATTCAAATTTTAAATAATTATGTTCCTACCAATGTCCTTATAGTGTTTATGAACTTTTATGACTTCCGTTTTAACCACAGATTTTCTGATAGATTTCCTCATAGCCTGTAAAATATATCTTCAAAAGATTTTTGAATATTAAAAGAAGGGGATGAAATAACCTGAACTGTTTTCTGTGATTGAAATATTATTATAAGAAATTTCACTTCCATTAAATAATATAGATAAGAGTGAAGGGATGTACATGTACCATTTCTTTCAATATTTCTAAGTTTCTGAGACGCTCTTCCTTAACATAAGTGTTCTCCCTTAACAAAACTAGTAAGTAAAACAGATTGTATTTCGATGGTGAAATTACTGAATTAAAGGATTAGTGTAGCAAAGTAAAATAAATCAACACTGGTTAGAATAAATGTTTCTGTGTACATTATTTAATCTATTTCGAGTTATGATCTTGAAATTGCGAGTTATTAAGTCGAAATTGCGAGTTATGAGTCAAAATTTCGAGTTATTATCTTGGAATTTCGAGTTCTTAACACGAAAAAAACAAATGAATGTTTTTTTTCTTTCTGGCCCTAATCCTCTTCCGAGTGTAATCTAAGATCAGACTAATAGTACGCGAAATACGTCCGTATAGCGGTTTGACCAAGTGTAGACTACATATGATATTGTCATGCACGGCAGCTCAACACCTTCGGGCGAGTCGACCTGCTCGCCGAGCATACAGAGAAGTCGGTTTGGCCACTTTTTAAGTGCATTTTGACAACATATGTTTCTTTTATTTTTTTTATTTTTTTTTAAAGGTTATCGCAAGCAATACCTTTTTAAAGGGATTATTTCCAGGATTCTACGCTTATCTACATTTGGAAGATGACAGTTACCAGTGTATACGTAATGTATATAACACAACAAGACGTTGACATGTTTCTTACCTGAGTGACAACCAATTCTGAGTTTGAACTTCTGTCCGGGCAGGTGTGGTATTTCTAGCCGGTCAATGTGCTCCAGGATGTCCACGGCCATCGTAGCCACCTCTGCTGCATGTCGGCGCCCATTCAGTTTTGGCACACCTTTTCAATGAATTGCACTCAACAGTGATAATATATTCTATACTGGTTATACAATTATAGATCATACATAAAATCTGAGATTGAAATCACATTTAACCTACTTTATCAAAATTACATTTAGCTTATTTCATCTATAATCAAAATAACAATCAGCTGATTTAACTTGTATCCAAAATCGCATTCAACAGATTCCATCTGTAATCAAAGAAACATTTGTCTGATTTCATTTGTAACCAACAACATTCAGCTTATTGCAATTGAAATCGAAATTAAAGTAAATTTATTTGATCTGTAAACAAAGGCACATTTGACTTATTTAATCTACGTTTACATTATTTTATCAAAATCAATTTCAGATTTTCACACTTGTGACCTTAGATAAATTCCCCTTATTACACCCTCAAACTTACATTCTATAATATATTATGTATAGGAAAGCGTCACTACGTTCTGTGTTGGTTAGACTGGATTGATTTTATACTATTTCATTTGATTTGGGATACAACTGTAGTTAAGTCTCATTAAAAATTTAGTATGCCTGAGAAAAACGACACATTTCTCATTTGTACATATCGAATTGACTAAGATAAGGGTAAATAATAACACTACGTAAAGAAGTGGTAATTTTACTAGTGCAGAAAGTAAGGAGAACAGACGATCATAGTTGTTAATAGGACGTAAAACAAACCAAACCAAAGGAACAGACGACCTCAGTTGTTAATAAGACGTAAAACAAACTAAACCAAAGGAACAGACGACCATAGTTGTTAATAGGACGTAAAACAAACAAAACCTCGGGAACAGACGACCATAGTTGTTAATAGGACGTTAAACAAACTAAACCAAAGGCACAGACGACCATAAATGTTATTAGGACGTTAAACAAACTAAACCAAAGGCACAGACGACCATAGTAGTTAATAGGACGTTAAACAAACTAAACCAAAGGCACAGAAGACCATAAATGTTATTAGGACGTTAAACAAACTAAACCAAAGGGACAGACGACCATAGTTGTTAATAGGACGTTAAACAAACTAAACCAAAGGCACAGACTACCATAAATGTTATTAGGACGTTAAACAAACTAAACCAAAGGGACAGACGACCATAGTTGTTAATAGGACGTTAAACAAACTAAACCAATGGCACAGACGATCATAGTTGTTAATAGGACGTAAAACAAACCAAACCAAAGGAACAGACGACCATAGTTGTTAATTAGACGTAAAACAAACTAAACCAAAGGAACAGACGGCCATAGTTGTTAATAGGTCGTAAAACAAACTAAACCAAAGGAACAGACGACCGTAGTTGTTAATTGGACGTAAAACAAACAAAACCTAGGGAACAGACGACCATAGTTGTTAATAGGACGTAAAACAAAATAAACCAAAGGCACAGACGAACATAGTTGTTAATAGGACGTAAAACAAACTAAACCAAAGGCACAGACGATCAGAGTTGTTAATAGGACGTAAAACAAACTAAACCAAAGGCACAGACGATCAGAGTTGTTAATAGGACGTAAAACAAACTAAACCAAAGGAACAGACGATCATAGTTGTTAATAGGACGTAAAACAAACAAAACCAAAGGAACAGACGACAATAGTTGTTAATAGGACGTAAAACAAACCAAACCAAAGGAACAGACGACCATAGTTGTTAATTAGACGTAAAACAAACTAAACCAAAGGAACAGACGACCGTAGTTGTTAATTGGACGTAAAACAAACAAAACCTAGGGAACAGACGACCATAGTTGTTAATAGGACGTTAAACAAACTAAACCAAAGGAACAGACGAACATAGTTGTTAATAGGTTGTAAAGCAAATTAAACCAAAGGAACAGACGACCATAGTTGTTAATAGACGTAAAACAAACTAAACCAAAGGCACAGAAGACCATAAATGTTATTAGGACGTTAAACAAACTAAACCAAATGAACAGACGACCATAGTTGTTAATAGTACGTTAAACAAACCAAACCAAAGGAACAGACGATCATAGGTGTTAATAGGACGTAAAATAAACTAAACCAAAGGAACAGACGACCATAGTTGTTAGTAGGACGTTAAACAACCCAAACCAAAGGAACAGACGACCATAGTTGTTAGTAGGACGTTAAACAACCCAAACCAAAGGAACAGACGACCATAGTTGATAATAGGTCGTAAAGCAAACCAAACCAAAGGAATAGACGTGAGATAAGAAATAGATGTTATTAACGGACGTAAAACAAACTAAACCAAAGGAATAGACGACCATAGTTGTTAATAGGTCGTAAAACCAACTAGACCAAAGGAACAGACGACCATAGTTGATAATAGGTCGTAAAACAAACCAAACCAAAGGAACAGACGGCCATAGTTGTTAATAGGACGTTAAATAAACCAAACCAAAGGAACAGACGATCATAGTTGTTAATAGGTCGTAAAACAAACTAAACCAAAGGAACAGAGGACGTTAAACAAACTAAACCAAATGAACAGACGACCATAGTTGTTAATAGACGGAAAACAAACTAAACCAAAGGCACAGACGACCACAGTTGTTAATAGGACGTTAAACAAACCAAACCAAAGGAACAGACGGCCATAGTTGTTAATAGGACGTAAAACAAACCAAACCAAAGGAACAGACGATCATAGTTGTTAATAGGCTGTAAAACAAATTAAACCAAAGGAACAGACGACCATAGTTGATAATAGGTCGTAAAGCAAACCAAACCAAAGGAATAGACGTGAGATAAGAAATAGATGTTATTAACGGACGTAAAACAAACTAAACCAAAGGCACAGACGATCATAGTTGTTAATAGGCTGTAAAACAAATTAAACCAAAGGAACAGACAACCATAGTTGTTATTAGGACGTTAAACAAACTAAACCAAAGGCACAGAAGACCATAAATGTTATTAGGACGTTAAACAAACTAAACCAAATGAACAGACGACCATAGTTGTTAATAGTACGTTAAACAAACCAAACCAAAGGAACAGACGATCATAGTTGTTAATAGGTCGTAAAACAAACTAAACCAAAGGAACAGACAACCATAGTTGTTATTAGGACGTTAAACAAACTAAACCAAAGACACAAACGATCATAGTTGTTAATAGGACGTTGAACAAACAAAACCTAAGGAACAGACGACCATAGTTGTTACTAGGACGTAAAACAAAACAAACCAAAGGAACAGACGACCATAGTTGATAATAGGTCGTAAAGCAAACCAAACCAAAGGAATAGACGTGAGATAAGAAATAGATGTTATTAACGGACGTAAAACAAACTAAACCAAAGGAATAGACGACCATAGTTGTTAATAGGTCGTAAAATAAACTAAACCAAAGGCACAGACGAACATAGTTGTTAATAGGTTGTAAAACAAATTAAACCAAAGGAACAGACGACCATAGTTGGTAATAGGACGTAAAACAAACTAAACCAATGGAACAGACGACCATAGTTGTTAGTAGGACGTTAAACAAACCAAACCAAAGGAACAGACGGCCATAGTTGATAATAGGTCGTAAAACAAACCAAACCAAAGGAATAGACGTGAGATAAGAAATAGATGTTATTAACGGACGTAAAACAAACTAAACCAAAGGCACCGACGAACATAGTTGTTAATAGGTTGTAAAACAAATTAAACCAAAGGAACAGACGATCATAGTTGTTAATAGGTTGTAAAACAAATTAAACCAAAGGAACAAACGACCATAGTTGTTAAAAGGTCGTAAAACAAACTAAACCAAAGGAATAGACGACCATAGTTGTTAATAGGTCGTAAAATAAACTAAACCAAAGGCACAGACGAACATAGTTGTTAATAGGTTGTAAAACAAATTAAACCAAAGGAACAAACGACCATAGTTGTTAATAGGTCGTAAAACCAACTAGACCAAAGGAACAGACGACCATAGTTGATAATAGGTCGTAAAGCAAACCAAACCAAAGGAATAGACGTGAGATAAGAAATAGATGTTATTAACGGACGTAAAACAAACTAAACCAAAGGAACAGACTACCATAGTTGTTAATAGGACGTTAAACAAACCAAACCAAAGGAACAGACGACCATAGTTGATAATAGGTCGTAAAACAAACCAAACCAAAGGAATAGACGTGAGATAAGAAATAGATGTTATTAACGTTATTGACAACTTTTTGTTAAGTACTCAGTATTGGCTCAATTTGCCTATCATATGGTTGTTTGGTAAAAAGTATAAAACAATTCTTAACACTACTGTAGTAAATCGTGATGTATAAATGAAGCTTCATTAGAAAAACATAGTAAATAAGTATACGTGCGATTGTTATTTATCACTCATATTACATATTTAATTCTTATTTTTCATGTCTGAATATTTGGTGCTTAGCACCGAGCCATTTCATCATCGTACTTTTCATATATTTATAATATAGTATGTCTTTCTAATATTGCGTTGTATTTTTCGTGATAGATTTTCCAAGCTATGTTATTCTAATTTAATTGTTGTTAAGTTAAGTCATTGATAACTTAATACTGAAAACCAATGTAAGAATCACTTATATAAACTATGGTAGACAGGTTATGTAACACGTTCAGTTGATAGTTTGCGTGCGACGTTTCTATGACCAGTACGACATGTACTCTGCATCCTTATTAGGATAACATTCGGTGAAGTGTCAATTCGACTGCGCTATACATATTTGACGGTTCAGAGTATATACCGTGCTAGTGATCTAAACGTCACACATAAACACTAAGCTGATCCTGCTAAATAACCTTTCTACAATCCATACATACCATACTGATCAATACTATATTTTGATGCATGAATGGAAGGAATTAAAAACAAAAATAAAAAAAATGTTTATGCATAAAATATGTCGTTTTTGGTCAAATATCTTCATTACGTGTTTATCCTGTATCTAGATAACATTTTACACAACAGTCTGATTGATTCTGCTGGGTGAACATCTGTTCTCGACGTTGACCGTAGCCTTCTTATTAACATTACATACAAGTTTATACATACATTATATGTAACGTTTTAAGGTTTAAATAGGGTTTCCTTGTTTTGACGTTAGGTACCACCGTTTGGTCATTGATGATGTAAAACGTTTAATAAATGTTGCTTTCTGTATTTATCATCACGATTTTCAAGCAGGTGATTCATTCGTTCGTATTTTTTATTGGTTTAGCAACCGATAAATAATACCGAATGTTTGAGAAAATGTGTTATCACGACTATCCCATAGGCCTCTAACGACAGTGAGGAATCTGCATATTTCCTTAGATATCTCACTAGATTATAAATATTTGTAAATATCATATAAGATAACGCTATAATGATAATGTAGATATACACTCATACATAACCAATTATTTCAGTTTTGAAACCGGGATTGTCAAAGGTGACAGGTAAGTGTGGTGCTGTTGGCCAGCACAGGCAAGCTGTTCATACAGTATTTTCTCTGCGCTGATTGACCCACAGTTGGCAAACCGAGCAAACTTTCCTTTAGGAATAGATCTAATACGTAGTCTTGTAGCTGTAACGAATTCCTTATTCAACTATTCAAATCGAGTATACATAGTTTCATGTTGGTATTAAGTCCGTGACATCCATACAGACATTTTTGAACATTCAGAAGACATGCACCATTTAAGACAGATGCAGAAGAAGTTAAGGATAATTTTCTGTGATATAGAAATGACAGTTGAGGAAGAAAGTATAAGAACCTAGATAGGAACACAAACTGACCTGGTTTACATTGAGGAGTTTCAGTTACTAGCATATGTTATACACTGACACAGAGTAATGTTCTATTTTCTTACACCACGATATATAAAATCAAACTACAATTTTTACCGAGAACCAAATATCTCAAATGATTAAATAAATATATCAAAAGACAAATAGGATAAACAAAGGTATAAATACGTGTACACGAGCGTAAATTCGTGATGTCAGTTTATCTAAATATAGACGCAGCGTATATCCGTGTCTAGTTTAAAGATATTATAATTGGGAGACCTTTACCCTTACTTCAAACCAATACGTACCGGATACCACCATGTATGCGTCTCCAATGGTTTCCACTTTATACACGTCGAAGAGTTCCAGTCGTTCGTCAAAACAAAGGTAGAGACTATTCAACATGTCGACCACCTGCAAGGGGGAGCACTGGGCAGCAATCTGTGTGAAGCCTACGATATCACTGAACAAGACTGTTGATTCCGGGTAATGTTCGGGTCCGATTCCGGCGTTTTGTTTGAGTCGCTCGGCCACGGATTGCGGTAACATCTGGTACAGCAGGGTGTCCGTTCGCTTCTTCTCCTTGTCCAGCGCCTTCGTTCTGTAAGTCAATGGAAGCTGATTTAAACGTTCATGTATTCGAATCGTATACATTAATGCATTGAATAAAATCAAATGAGTTATAAAACCTATTTAATTGAGAATACGAAGGCTGTGAGCACCGAAATGACAACATCGGCTGTATGCTCCCCAGGGAGTTGAGAAAGATATTGGCTTGTTTTAAAGGCCCTATAACCACGGATAGCAAATTGTGAACCGCTTTGAGAAGTCCTACTACCTAGGCTGTTATAAAGCGGTATAGCAGAACTTTGGACAATTATTATTAGGATTATTGTTATTTTTGTATCTTTGTACCAATTGATATGTCCATTAAATTTCATGAAGATCTTACCGGTTCGCAATTGAAATAGAGTACTTCTGGATCTCTGATGTCAGCGAGTACACAGCAAACACAATGAGTGGGCAGATAATTAGGATAATACCAAACACAACAGAAATAACAACTATATTTTTCAAATCATCCTCTGCTTCCTTCCGTAGGATCTCGTCAATTTCTAAAGCGAGACGGATTTGTACCTCCCGAAGCGTGTCCTGGTAAACAGTCATGTTTTCAAACCACCAGTTTGCATATTTCAAGGACCCTTTCACTGCTGAACTTCGATTGCTTCTAATCTCTCTTCGCATTTCATTGATAGGTTGGATTACACTTGAATTCCTAACAAGTGTATCCTCATAAATGCTGTAAGCCAGTTCAGAATATCGCCTAGCAGATTCAAACGTAATGTTTGCAATGTCTTGGCTTTCAACAAAGTCAAGATATTCATCTCGAGTCGCAAATCCGCCTATAGCATAAAATGATACCCCTAGTCCTCGTTCTCTGCCAAAGTACTCACTGGCAACAACGATCTCTTGATACGCCACCAGTTTGGGCCATACTGTTCCCGACCGAGCTTCCACTATCGCTTGGTACAACCATTTGATGAAGACCTCGATGCTGTCCGAGTAGAACGCCACTTCGTCCTTAGATGTTCTGTTGTAAGATTCCAATTGATATCGATGTCGGTTAAGGTAAGATAGAAAACTTTCCTTTGTTTGAAACTCTGTCCTGATAATCGTCGCGCTGGTAGGCCAAAACGACAAGTTCTGTAGTCCAACATCTGTATCTGGGTATCGATCTAATAGAAAATCCTTTGTCTGGGGACTCTTACTACTGATGTAGAGGGCGCTTATATCACGTTCTCGTTGCATCATACGTAACAGCCACCCTAACTCTATACTAAAATAGAGGATATTCCGAATGTTTAACAAGCTGATGTAGTTGTCAAGGGAGACAATAAAGGTATTGGCTGTCATACCAGTTAACACAACCACAGGAATCAGTACCACTGTCAACATCTTTACCATGTGGAGTCGCTTCCCGGCGTCCGTGACTGGATTCCCTGTATAACATATACAGCATGACATTCTGTTATTAATTTTTAAGTTCAGATATTGTAAAATGTGTTTAAAGTTAGGTTATGTTTGATATCCTCGTTGGAATGACATGGTAAACATGTTATGATAGGTAATCTTTGATAAAATTGCAGTTTGACTAACTGAATTTAATGTAAATTATATGTAAATTATATCTAAGATTATTTTCCACAAAAAAACCCCAAACAAATAAATCAATATAAAAAACTGAAATAAATAAATAGCACAAAAACACGTTATGTTGCCCGATTTTCTTCGAGTATCTTCCGTAACATGTGTGTCTTAACTTCGAGTATCTTCCGTAACATGTGTGTCTTAACTTCGAGTATCTTCCGTAACATGTGTGTCTTAACTTCGAGTATCTTCCGTAACATGTGTGTCTTAACTTCGAGTATCTTCCGTAACATGTGTGTCTTAACTTCGAGTATCTTCCGTAACATGTGTGTCTTAACTTCGAGTATCTTCCGTAACATGTGTGTCTTAACTTCGAGTATCTTCCGTAACATGTGTGTCTTAACTTCGAGTATCTTCCGTAACATGTGTGTCTTATAATTTTCTATTTCATTCCCCGATGACTTTGCTTCGATAAAAAAATGCATATATTTCTTAGTATTTTATTTCCCGATGTTGTTCCTTTGTTAAACACATCGTACTATTTACCTAAGATTTATATTTTCCTACTTTCTCCCTACATTTATTCCCCTATTATCATTTTTTATTTCCCTGTATTTTTCCTACATTTCCTTATTGTATATGAATTGACACCATTATTTCCCAATGTTTACACTACATTACTCAGTTGTATCACATGCATGTACCTAAATAACACTTTTCGATATTCGTCCTAAATTTTCAACCTTTTTATGCACAGTGTATACCAGACCATCCGTCTATAACTAGTAATACGTGATCGAGAATATCTCGAAACATTTATGCATGTGGTAATATAGCCCATTGATGAGAATGCAAATATTTACATTTGCTCTGCATCCTTCCATTGCAATGTAAATGAAAGTGTTGTTATGAGACTATACAAACTTTTGCTATTGTAACGTCATCAATCTCTAATGTGATGTCATCAATTTCATTGTTGTCAACACTTGTTATGCGGTTCAAAAATTGTTCGAAATTACTAAATTAAGCATAACTATGCTATCAAAATGTAAATATAAATAATGAATAGCAAATATTGAAATGGTCCAATGACCAACATTTATATTGCTGACAAACATACAGCATGCCCTACTGGGCTTTATTAAGTTTGTCATCAATAGCAATTTGTGTTATAGGACCATAACAACATTTGCTAAAACCTTCATTGCTTAAATGATGATTTGCTTATAGGTCCTACACAACATTGTTCATGAACAAATGAAAATCTCACCGTGGCATAAAAGCTGACACCTGCTCCAGTTTTGATTTACGTGTACCATATCCATGATGGCGGTGTTAAGTTGAGACTCAGTAAGGGACTCCTTTGCGGACCTATGCTTCCTCTCTTTGCGGGTGTGAGTCGGGTGTATTCTTTTGCCTGTCATAATTCTGCTCCTGCATTACATATGTTAAGGTTTAATGTAAGGCATATTATATTCTGCTGGTGGATTTCTCAGTCCCTCTGGGTTTGCCGTAACGTTGATATCCATAGTAATTTCTTTTAAGTAGTGGAACAGTTCATTATACACACACCTTACTCATAATGTTATTTGAAATTAACCAGGACGTCCTTACATTTAAGAATTCATAACATTAATGGATTATATGCAAACCTCTTCTGTTTCAACAGCAGTTCAGACCAATTTGGATGTCCAACTGTTTTGCCATACAATAAATTAACTAGATCAGGTGTTCAGGAAAGGTAAGCGCCACAGGCTTTACTGATAACACTCATCATGCAAGTCAAATTCTAAAATATAATGTCCTCAAAGCGAGAACCAGTGAAGCGAGATCAAAACCACGAGGCAAACAAATGGATATAATGAGAAACATGGACCAAAATATTATGCACGGAAATAGTTTTAATCCCGAAAATATCATGATGGCGTCCGTAAAATTGTCCATAGCCCTCATCAACATGTATCATTTATATTGTTCGTCTGTCCGACAGCAATCGACATCTATAACGAGATCCATAATATACTGGAGCATATTAGGAGCAAACTTTTGAATACCTTACAATTTGGACTATATACACTGACACGCAAAAGAAACGCAACCTCCAATTTTTGATTATATTTTAAATATTTCGTTCCGTTTAAGTAATATAAATAATCAAAGACACACATCTATTCTATTGGATAATTCAGTTATTTTGGCGCTGGCGATAATTAATTTGGCAAGACAACAGTCAAGACTGAAGAAGGGGCGGCAATTGGGATTGTTCAACGCAATAACGAGTAAGACCCCCGTTAGCATTTGTAGCAGGGAGTCGAGAAAGGTATTGGCTGGTTGCAAAGACCCTATAACCACGGATAATAAATTGTGAACAGCTTTGAGACGAATTACGAACTGGGTTGTGATAAAGCGGTATATACAACCTCGAATTATTATTATAATCATTATTATAAAAGAACCTAAAACAAAGTCAGATTTGCCTGACATATGACATTTGGGTTTGTCCATGACACAAATCGTCAAAGTGGTATAGATAAACATTTTCCCTCCTTTAAGTATTTAAAAATATTCAATCAACATTATTTCTAATTTTAATAAAAGCCGTTTGGTAACTAGTCTATCAGCCTGTTATGTATAATCGATCTATTTAACAGGTAACGTAAGCTAATATGTAGTATGATAATCGTACTGAATTACATCTCGGGTTTATCAGAAATCATTCTTTTACACAATAAGACGAATACCCTCATACATATCCACGCTGTTTTGCATTAATCGGAAGAACTTGTTATGACGTTGTTACCAAGTAAATATAGCAGTGTTAATTGACACACCAATCATATTACAGAACATAGAAGTGTACAGCCACAGGTAGCGTAAGGTGTGTTAGGACACGCGTGTCACACCTGACGAGATGCGGTGTCTGAAAAGTTAAAGATTGAATCGTCCATTGCTCAATAATCAAACGTCTTTTTAACAGCTAAGGTCATTTAAGGACATGTCAGGTTTTGGTTGTGGTGGAAACCCGGAGAAAATCCACCGACCTACGGTCAGTATCTGGCGACTGCCCCACGTAGGCCTCGAACCCGCGACCCAGTGGTGGAGGGCTAGTGGTAGCAGTATGCCAAAAGCCTTAACCACTTGGCGAATGCGGTCCATTCTTTTATGATGGGGGTAGATGTAATGATATACGGTTAGCAGGATAGGCTGCTTTGCCTTTTGCAAAACACTCCTATGGTCCTTGACCATGCATGGTATACATGCCAGCATACTCTTGACCAGATTGTATTCGTTCTGTGATGTCTACAGTTGTATTGATAAATATGTGAGCATTATGATCTTAGAAGTAATCTTATGTGATTTTTCGGAATGTGGTTACAATGCAAAATAACAAGGTTTGTTACAATTAAAATTCTTAAATACTACTAGAAAAAAGTACAAAATAATTCATACCAAATCTAAATAAATGTTCGTACAGGGACAATGTCTACAGTGTTAGTAAGCATTCCTTGTCTGTAGTCACTATCGTAACATTTCTTATACTTTTAATTTTAACCTCTAAACGCTTAAATCAAACTTCAGCATGAACAACGTGGTGAAAGCATGCTAGATTTCTAAGCCTAATTAGACCATTTTGATCCATGCATTTGTGGTTAGGCCATAATAAAAGCAATCGAACCGGTAGGAAACGTTATACTTGAAAATCGTTCCAGATCAACTGATTACCAAGTATATAAACCTCGTGACATATATCTTGGTTATAGGAAGAAAAGCATATACACAAAATTACCCCTTTAAATTCAATCTTATATATACTATATATCTGTAATGGTAAATATGACATGCGACAACAGACTTACTTGTGTTTAAATGCTTCAAAGATGGACTTTCTATCAAAGGTTCTTCTTCAAGATAGTCACATCAGGCAGGTTGTTGTCGCATACGTTTGTCAAGTTGCCATGGTAATAACACACTCACGCGAAGACCATGGAAGCACAAACTGTGAAACAGTGCTTCAGACCTTTCTAACAATCGATACATAAATTATATTAACAAATTGTTATCTGGTGATCTTTAGACTTTAAATGATTTTCTTTTTTATGGCATGTTTTTTTTATCGATTTATAGAAATAGATATATTAATTAATTAGTGAAATGCATTGAATCGGTTCCCTGATTATGTATACAATGAATTGATATTGTTATTTTTTCGACCAATTCATATTATGTTTTTTGTCAATAGTGTTATACAAATACATCCTGCATCTGGAAGGCAGGTGTAGATTTTGTTGGAGTTACGCACATTGCGTTGTGATGGTGTCGGCACTGTCAAACTATATTGGATATGGGGACTTGGTTAAATCATATTGGATATTGGTATATTGTGAAATTATATTTGTAGGTTGATACGGTGTTAAATTATGATGAATATTCTTACTTAGTGAAAATATATTGGATATTGGTACTGGGTTAAATTATATTGGATATTGGTTCATTATAAAACTGTATTGTTTATTGGTACACTGTTAAATCATATTGGATATTGGTACATTATAAAACTATATTTTGTATTGGTACATTGTAAAATTATATTGGATATTGGTACATTGTAAAACTATATTGTGTATTGGTACATTGTAAAATTATATTGGATATTGGTACATTAATAAACTTTAATGGATATTGATACATTATAAAATTATATTATGTTTGGTACATGGATTATCTTTTGTTTTGATTATTGGTATATTGTTAAAACATATATTATACAGTAATATCAATATTGTAACTGTTTTTTTGGTGGAAGATAGCATCGAGACTTCATAAAGGTATTGTTTATTTCGCGCGAGTTCGACTCATGCGATATACGGATAGTCACGACTCTCCGGTTACTCGGAAATTTAAGACAGTCGAATTTGCCTACAAGGGGATATATGCCATTAACAAAAGAAAAGTCCTATATCGAAAGTCTGTCATAGCTAACATACCACCGTACTAAAATACGAATGTGTCTCATTCATTCCTTTAGAGTTATTTTAACCGATTGCTTCCGTGCTTTTCAATTACAAGCAAAAGCGTTAGACCTGAATCAAGGTGATCCTAGAGTAATCTCAGTTTTAGCATGATCTTTTTCCACACCCCATATAACAAAAGGACAAAAGTAACTAATTCGGATATAATTAATAATACAAATGTTCTAGAGCTTTCCATGAAGGGTCTGAACAAAAACATACAAGTCTGTATTTCTTGAACACCGATGTCCAAATCCACACTTAGCGATCTGCAGGATAAGTGCATAGTTGTACGAGCAGACATAGCGTCTTATTATTTTGTAGATTATTTTCCTGCTACCAAGGATACCTTAGTTTACTTTCATTATCAAGGAAGCACTATCATGTCTTTTTCTAATGTTTTCTAATCATAGCGTAAAAAACACAATGAATCAGGTTGATCTTTAAAGCTTTGTAAGGATCCCTGTTGTTCTGTATACTTTCCAGTAGTCCACAGGGGGTCCTTAGGTGTCTCCTTGAGAACTTGTGTATCCGGGCCTTGGACAACGAAAAGTGTAGTAAGTGTATATACGCAATCTTCCTGGATTTCTTTATCAAGCAATAATCAATCATTTACTCGAGTTACTTCCCATCATACGTAAACAATGAAATGCATTTTTTGTAAACATTTTCTTCAGGTTGGTAAGTATGGATTATGAGAAGTTCTTTTTATACAACCAATAACATTTTCTATGTGACGTTTCGATGACTAGTACGATATGTACACTGTCACCCTCATCAGACAAATGACCAGTGAAGCGTATGCATCCAAAGGTGTAAAATGTGTTGTCCACAAAATCGATGTCGTTTCCAGTACAATAGTTGTTATATATGTACCAAAATGACTCAATTCAGCTACGCGTTGTTAACACTTTGTCATAGATGTGCGAGAGTATTTGAGCCCCCTCATCTCGATTTAGAACTGGCCCACTGCGGCGTATCCAGATGGCTTCCTTTATGCCGCTTGAACAGATTGCTCTCTATGTCCAAAACTTTGGAGATATCCCGGTCAATTACATGGTTTTCCATGTGGCATGGTCTGTGATTGCCGATTTATTTATCTGGGACTCCGACTGTTTTCTTTCTGATCTGGTGAATTTCCCACCTTCTTGGGTTTCTGTGTCTTTCCGATGTTCATCAAGGCGGACCCCAAATCGCCTTCCAGTCTCTCCAATATACGACGCGTTCTACCGGGCTTTATTAAGTGTGTCATCAATAGCAATGTGTGTTATAGGACCATAACAACATTTGCTAAAACCTTCATTGCTTAAATGATGATTTGTTGACATTTGTTAAATTACAAACAAGCTTTAAATTGAGGGCTTCCTTGCCTCTTATAGGTCCTATACAACATTGCTCCTGAACAAATGAAAATC